AACATTCTTTGTATTATTCTTTAAAACAATGTTTGTCAGCTTTTTTACCTTAAGAATCATCTTGTACATGTGTGACCTTGGTACCCACTTAAAATCGTGCCGCCAAAAAAATAAAGGGTCGACAATCTTTCCAACATCACTAAAAGGAAATTAAATTGTTTTTTATCAGTTTGATTACAAGCAATACAAGCAATACTGTACGCCGATTCGACTTAAGCAGGACCCAAAATTTCGAAGAATTATAGCATGTCTCATTTTCTTAGTATTAAAAGTTCATGTCTTCAAAAAAGGTGTTTTTTTGAAAGAAGATCTCTTTTTTGACACGATAGAGTAGCTTTAAGTCAATAATTAAGAATCAATAATTAAGCAAACTAACATTTTGGAAACTTGTTCACCACCGGAGTTTAGCTTTCTACAGAGCCTTAACAGAACTGACTTTCGATTGCAACAGTGATAACAAAATTCAAGACACCCTTCATACAAGGGTGGCTTCAGAGAAGAGTCAGACAGGCCAAAGATGATAACTAGTAGTAAAAAAGAGTATATAAGATTCCAACACCCTTTTATTTTTTATTTTTTTGTTTAACTGTTACAAATATTTGCGTGAACCTTTTTATCACATAAAACAAGAAGGTAAGACGTCCTTTTTTGGCTTCATAAGCCACTGGAAAAGTTATTTTGGTTAGTTTGCCAACCGCAAGAAAATCTACATTGACTCAAGTTTGCAACCAAAATCAGATATTATTTGAAAAAAGTGACCGACTACACCTCTAACTACTTTGTTACTCTTTTATCTCGTTTGGTGAGGCGTCGATTACGTCAGCAAGATACAATCAAGGGTCTTCCTACTTAAATTAGCTTCAGAGTTAAAGGGCATGGAATAAGACGGTTTCGATCGTTTTGAAGAAACTGAGAGCTACATTTGCTGATGCGTTTATATTAAAAATTGATTATCATTGGCACGGAGTTTTAGTTAATGAGGCATTCGGCATAATAATGCTGCAGTAAAAAACTGATTTGCTACTCCCTTAACATAAACAAATGCATATTGTTAAAATTTCATAAAAGTTAACGTTTATTACGAGCCACTTTTGGTTCCCATGGCATTTAAGAGGCAGGAAATGGCTCGAGGCAACGAAACACTTCGGCGACAAAGCCGTGGAAATCTCTTCCAATTTTTCTGGAGAGAATCTCTGTCAGTCCAGTGAACCTACACACAACTGACGCTACGTTTGGATCTATTTTATTTACACAGCTATTATTAACTTAAGTGTTCTAAAGTGTAGTGAACCTGCCAATGAATTTGCCAGAACTGCCGCAGAAATTGCCTTACCAGAACTACCACCTTAATAGAAATTAAGTAAATAAATATATATAGGTATTAACTTAAGAATGTTATAGGTATTAGAGACAGGAACATGGGTGGTGAGATATTTCCAAAAAGAGATAATTTTTTACCATTTTCAATTTCCTCGCACAAACATCTTGTCATTTAGTATTTACAACCCACCTGAATAAAGAAAAAAATAACGTAAAATAACGATGTTGTTAACTGGAAAATTTCCCCTTAGTTAATACAGCTGAGGAAATATCTCTTCACATCCTCCTAGAACATCCCTGCATTGTCCTAGTTTGAAGCCCGACACCCTTAGATACGTTTTTATGCCGAGTATTCCTGACTTTCTTTATTTACTCCCTTAACCACGTCCGACAGAGGTGAAATTCTTCCTCCAGCACTCCCTGTCCAACATGGTGGAAAAAGGATCTTATTAAAGCAATCTCGAGTTATTAAGCCATTGAAGACAACACCCTTCTTTTTATAACGTGGAACCAAAGACGTTTGTCTTAGACTCAGTTTTTGTGTCTTATTTAATGCCGTATTCACCTTATTTGGCACTTAAACCTCTTGTAGATAACATCAGCAATCAAAGATTTACATAACATGTCCACGGCACAGAGAGAACCTTTAACAGTGCCTTGTAGGGAAAACCACAAGTTCAAGAATTATACTGTATAATTCTTGAACTTGTGGTGTAGGGCCACTGTAGGGCCTCGCCTTACTGAAACAAGTAAACCATCTAGAATGATCAAAAACTAACTTCAATGAATTAAGAACAGCTATGAACTTCTTAGCCACTTACAAGTAAGTCTCCTAAGTGGCACTTGGCTTCCCAAAACCAAGTGTGTTTAGTTGCCATCAAATAGCATCAGCAATTAAGGAATTAAACAACAACCCACAACTTTCAGGTCCACAAAATGGAACTTAAAACCGTTTAAGGAATGGTAGCTTGCAACAATGACATTATTGCAGGAAAAGGTTCTTATTCGGGGCCACTGGCCAACTCATGGTTACCGCTTACTGAACTGAACAGCCATTTTAATAGGCTAGGAGAATTCGCCAATAAAGGGCTGTGGCTATGACCATTCGAATATGTATGGTTAAATGTGTCTGTTGAAATTTGTCCAGTTGCCAGTGACAGTGTCCACAAATAAGTTTCTTGGTTTCCATACAGGTTTACACTAAAGAGTCTTACCCTGTAAGCGGCTAACTTCATCATCAACCTATACAGCTATTTATTGTTAAAAAAAAAAGTGGAATAAATTGTGGATATAACTCTCAGGTACAAGCCGAACAGAATAGTGGCAAAGCTTACGTTTCTAATGACAGACAGAAACGGAAAACCATCGTTTAATCATTTTTGCTTTTGTGTGCAACGCCAATAAGAATTTATTGTCCTCTTCGGTTAGGCCATCACTAATACAATGTTAACCCTTTGGAGCCCAGTGTCCGATATATCCAACAGCAGAGTTGTCCCCAGTTATTTTAAGCAGCAGCCTCTCCCAAAGTCGTTACCAGTCTCCAAACGATTATTTAAGCAAAAACACACAAGGAGTCGCCATTTTGGTTAGATTGCCACTATTTTCGTCGATTTTTTCGATTTTTGGGGGGTTTGTTGACAAGACGGGATTTAAAGTCCACTTGCAAACACGAGTAGAAGGCCTGTGACATATAGCACGCAGGATGTGCTCGATTATTTGGAAGGAAATTTCGCTATTCCCGAAGATGGTTTTGAGTCTGACATCGAGGGATTTAAAAGTGAAAGTGACGACCATTTGGAGCCAGAAATTATTCCGCATGAGGACCTTATGGAGCCAGATGATGAAATTGACTTAAGAAATGTTGTCATGGAGGATGAAGAAGCCGATGACACAGATAATGGTGAAACTAGTGCAGCTGGAAGGCCAAATAACTATTCGTTTGAAGGTTTAGAATGGATGGATTCACCTGAAGAGGTACCACCTATTCCTGAGTTTAGAGAGAATGTTGCGCCAGCTGTAGCGTGCTCTGCTGAAATGTCTCCATTGGATTACTTTCTCCCCTTTGTTGACAACCACATGTTGACTTCAATTGTCCGAGAAATAAACAGGTTTGCAATCCAATGCCTTATGGCCAATGGAAAAGATCCTAACTCATGGGTAGCAGTGACTTTAGAGGAGCTAAAAGCTTTTCTAGGTTTGATTATTGCCATGAGCATCCATTCTTTGCCTTCTCTGAGAGATTATTGAAAGGATGACTGGGTTTTAGCTGTCCCTGAATTTGCAAAAGTGATGCCAAGGAACAGATTTCTGGGCATAAATAGATATTTACATCTAAATGATAACTGGAAGATGCCAGCATGTGAATCTCCTTACGTGGATGAACGTTTCAAACTAAGGCCATTCCTGGAAAGCTTACAAGCTAATTTTACTCGCTGCTATAATCCTCACAAGGAACAAGCCATCGATGAAGCAATGATTAAATACAAAGGTAGGACTCCTCTCAAACAGTATATGCCAGTGAAACCCATCAAACGTGGTATAAAAGTGTGGTGTAGAGCAGATAGTCATTCAGGATACTTGTGTGACATATACACTGGACGCCATCGTGATGGTATTCAGAGGGGGATGGGCTACTCTGTTGTCACCCGCCTTTGCCAGGGAATAGAGGGAAAGTGGTACAATGTCTACTTTGACAATTTTTTCACATCATACCCTCTGCTAGAAGATCTTTATTCTAAGAAAATTATAGCTTGTGGAACTGTTCGACAGGGATGAAAACAAATCCCTGCAGTTCTTTTTGACAAAAATGCAATCAAAACAATGAAAAGGGGAGAGACGGTCTGGAGGATGAAGGGTCCTATCCTTGCTCTAATATGGATAGACAACAAACCAGTGACCATTTCTGGCACAACAACTGGCATTCCTGAAGAGCAACTACCTGAAGTGCAAAGAAGGAAGAAAGATGGCACCCTTGAGAATGTTGCCTGTCCTCCCATTATTTAAACCTACAACTGCTACATGGGTGGAGTTGACAAAAACGATCAAATGAAGTCTTATTATGGCATTAACATATCTGGAAAGAAATGGTGGACAAGGGTTTTCTTTGACCTCATTGACAGGGCAATAATCAATGGAAAAGTATTGTTCAATGAATCCCCCCACACTTCAAGAAAAAGCTTGAAGGATTTCAAGGTTGATTCAGCAAAGTTGCTCATTGGTAACTTTCGTTCTCGACGAAAGCGTGGGTGGTCCTCTCTCGATAATCAACAAGCAAGGTTTGTGGAGAGGCATTTTCCTGACTTCCTGCCAATGAATGACAATGGGAGGAGGATGGAGAGAAGACATTTGCTCTGGGGCTAACATCAGGAAAAAAACAAGCTATTATTGCCCTGACTGTGATGTTGGACTATGTGCCGCACCTTGCTTTCTCATGTATCATCAACGTTGAAATCTGTAAAAGTTATGTTGAGGTCATCAACAGAACTATTTTATTGATGTAATGCTTCTTTGTTCTTTGAACTTTAACCAATAGCATTAAATCCAGCTCATCTTAAGGAACAGTGAGATTTTGAGATATTTTCTGAAACTTAGTGAATTATTGCGCAACTACCCAGTTGTCTCGAGGTTGAGTAAATTTCTTAAATGTGGAACCAAAAGAATCCCTGATATTTAATCTATCAATCTGTGTGGTTATTCGAATTTTCATGTTTATTTTTTGACCTCCATGGCTATTTAATTATTTTATTTGAATATGACGTGACACAAAAGTTAATAATTAACCTGTTATAATGGTATCATATCCCATCAGATACCTTGCTAACATCACTCAAAATAAACTGCAATTATTAAGGATCCTAAAACTTTTTACAGAATGTGATTATGCTGAAAAGGTAAAACGATATGATAGGTTTATCTTGCTTGGTTTAAGTTTTTTAAAATCCTTTAAAATTAATTTGGGCTCTAAAGGGTTAAGTGGCATAAGAAAAGAACCTGAAAAGCGCATTAGGTTAACTTTGAAAGTGTATCACTCAGCTCACAAAAAGTGTCTGATGACCACATTAATCGGTGTCCTAGTTTAACTTTCTGGAAATCGCCAGGTTTTTAAACCTGGACCGAATGGTTTGCTTATAACATAATTATTTACTACGTGTTTTGGATACAGGATGTTGAAGAAAAACTTTGGCAAAAAAGTAACAATATTGTACATCTCCTTTCATTAACCTTGAACAGTTCCATGGTGAAAGTAAATCGATTTTACGCTCAAAATAACCATTTGCTAAAAGCATTATTTTCAAGCTTCGCTTAAATGCACAATTGCGTTCAAACGTTGGCAATAAACGACTAAAACATTTAAGTATTTTTAAGACTGTTCATAGTGTAAAAAAATGTGGGAATCTTGACATGGTTATATTGTACGCATTTGTGACACCCTATGCCCGAAACTCACCTTGGTAGCATACCCTATTTTTGACACGTTTCTTTTCTGAAAGCACTGATGCATTTTACAACAAAAATGAAGGAAGGGATGCTTTAAGTAGAAGGTAGCAACCACGTTTGGGGTGGTATAATGGCCAGCGAGCTGCATTAGCTATACAGCGAACTTCTCCCTAGCTAGAGAAAATCGCATCCATGCTGAGTGCAAATTGTGTCATTTTTGATGCGACAAGTCAGATCTCTTAATCAAGTCAACTCTGTGACATTTCTTAGATGGATAATGGGTAGTGAAACTCTTACAGTCAACACCATCAAAGTAGAGTTTCACAAATCCAGTGTGGAAGAGCCTTACCCACGGGCACATATTTGTGGCGCAATTCTCGACATCTGCTCCAGAGGGTAAAACACATACTAAATTCAACAGATAATGAATTTGGTAAGTGGCAGTGAGGAAGAGTTCAAATTTATATCCGTGTAAATGTTTCATTTTTAAGTGGGTATCTAAGACTGGAGAATGTTTGCTTAATTGACAATGAGGCAGATGCTATGGTATATCAATTAACGACATCTAACTCAAGATTTCAAGATAACCAGAGCCCAAGAAGCCAAGTGAAAAATAATTCGAGCTTTTTGACTAGAAATGTCAAATAACGTGAATACCAAAATATTGCGGTGGTGTTAAAGCCACTTTTGACAGAACAGACTTTAATTGTAACTCAAGCCCAGGGAAGCTTAGGAGAACCCAAGGTGTGATGGATATATGCAGCTGAATTTCAAGGACTAACTTTGTCCTATGCAATGGCTAATAAGAGAAGCTGCATCATCCAAGTCAAACCTACAATGCAACTGACTCGCAATTGTCATCAGGTTAAGGTGACGTGACCCAGTTATTTTGTGGGGATACCATCATACTTTAAAGCTCTCTGGTATCCTCACCTTTACTTTGATCGTAAGTCTAACATATAGCATGGATAACACATAGATCAATTTACAATATAGCATAAAATGTTTGGTGACCGGAGTAAATGTCAAGTGGTTAAAGTGCCACGCCTCTTTTGGGTTTGAGTCGAAATTCTGCTGTTGCTGGCATTTTTTCATGAAAATTTCTCGGATACATAATATGTATAGTGTGCATTAGTGCCATGTGTTGAACAGAGGTTCACTAAAATCACAAAGACCCAACGCGAGAAATTCAGCGGTTCGCAAATTAAGGTCATAATTTAGGTGAAAATGATAAGCAGACTTTACACGATTATATCTAATAAACTATGAGATTTATCCCTTTATTTTGGGGATCTTTATAACAGATGGGTCCTTGCAAGTCAGCAAAAAGCTTAGGGCCTTGTAAATGCTCACGATTTTGAGCAATTTAAACATATAGAGATTATAGTTTTACCTATTTGTTGACGTTTGTCAGTATTTAAGAGTCCTTCTCACGAAAAAAGTATTTTCTTTAAAATTCAAAGTTTTTTTCCTTCAAATTTTTTCAGGGCCACAACTGATTAACTAACTACCTGGATTCTGAATTTCATGGTCGTTGACAAACTGTGGCATTATTTTCTCTAAGCCCAAACTTGAGTAAACAGTAAAGATTTTTGGCATTTTTGCTGAGTTTGTGCTTTGAGAGTTTTCTATTCTTTCTAGTCTGTCATGATACTGAATTCTTGTTCAGCACGCCTGCAATGACCATGCTTGGCTTACTTCTGAATGCTCGCTGAGATATGATAATTTTGGTACGGTGAGAAAATATAAGGGATTCCCGTCACGTAACGTCCCTAGCCATCTGAGTGCACATCATGCTGAGAACTAAAAACTCTAAAAAGAAAATGTATGAGAATTGATCAAAAATCGTGAGTTAAACCTTTACGTATAACGCGATCACCTGTCTCACCGTACCAAAATTATCACATCTCATTAGGTTTAGGGTAAGGGAGGCAATTAAACGAATCATCACGATCTGGCAATCCAGCGTCTCATTACACTGTCAGACAATATCTGATCTGCAAGAGGAACGGGCTAAAGCCAGAGTTACATCGAAACAGGCCTTTCCCTTGTTTTTTTTAAGTTATTGGGTTTGTGCTCCTTTCTAAGAAAGCAGGTATTTTCTGCCCAAATTCCACCTTCACAACGATATCTTTATGCCTGAGATTTAGCTTTTTCCTGTCTTGAGTTTTTTAGCAGGCGATAGAGCTTCTGAACTGGGTAGGGTGTTCACCAGGTTTTTGTTTTGTCACACTTTTGGTAAACACTTTTGGGGAAAGACTCTTAATAGTTTTATGGTTAAAAAATCCCGTGACCTTATAGTTTTCCCAGTTTCTAATCTACAACTTTATGTTAGTGTATCAGATCTTTTAGGTGTTGACCCTACAGGGGGTTACCTGTTTAGGACCACCAACCAAGGTGCTGTCACTAGTAATCCCTTCCTCGGATCTGAGGTGGCTAATTGTTTGCTTACCCACTTGAAAACTTTAGGGATTCATTGTGGTGAAACCATGCACAGTTATTGTGTGGCTGCTCAATCACGTTATCTCATTTGGGTGTGGCCCCTGAGGATATTGCCAGACATGTTGGCTGGAAATCATTGGAAACCGCTGAATATTAATTCCAAACGGGGAAGGTTATGGGTTTGTACTATTATAGTACTTTCGCCGAGACTGGTATCCCGTCTGCTTCTCTGGTAGCCAATGTTTTGCATGATAAAAATGAGTTGAGGTCTGTCTCCTACCTTTGTGCCTAGATGTAACACAGCTCCTTTACCAGATATAGGTTTTCCTTTTTGTTCTGAGTTTTAGGAAGCTATATCAAATGGAGTTTGCTTTGTGTTTCCTATTTGGTGTCCTTAGTAGTTTTCACTGGTTTACTTTCAGCTGTGGACGAGAGCAAAATTTTTTTGCAATAACTTATCCATAGCTCGGCGATGAGTGGCTATTGTGGAAGTGAAGATGTATTACTAGCTTCATTGCGATAAAAGACACGACATTTTACTGCGCTTTTGATTAGCATTCTTATCATCTTATTCTTTTGTAGCTTGTTACTGGCCCTAGGGGAATGTAGTTTTCCTGTTTGTCTTGTTTTCAGGACTTTTTTCCCTCCTTTCACAAAGTTTTGTCAGTGGCAACTGCTTGCAACATTTCTTCCCCACCCTCCCCCCTTTGGCAATGTGTATCTGTCTGCCACTGTATTTAAAACTCATTGCCAGGTCAAAATTTTTTCCCCATAACTTATCCATACCTCAGCAATGAGTGGCTATTGTGGCAGTGAAGATGTATTACAATCCTGTCACAGAGGGAGGGAAAGTGACTCCACAGATGACCATAATAAAAAAAAAACAGCAAAAATTGACTGCCACATTCTGGGACGAGGTGAAACATGAAAAAGTGGATAAACTTCCTGGGAGAAGTGAGGGCATAATCAAAGGTGTGGGTGAAAAGAAACGAATTACAAAGGTGTTAAAGGACTGTTAATGTTGAAAAAGATTGTCCAACCCTCTGGTAAGGCTATCCAAGGACCAGATATGCTAATTACAAGGGATCCTTCATGTGTACCCATTTGAACTGCCTTACAGATTGCATAACAGTTTGGCATAACAAATAAACACAGTTTGAGGACAAGAAAAGAGACGAGAATATCATCTGCAAGGGATGCAGAAGTAAAGGAGACTTCTTAAAATGCCTGCCCAGTTGGTATATTAGTTACAAAAAGCAGTCAATAAAGGTTTACCTCTGTAGTGAACATACATGCCCAGGTAGTTATAAAATCCATGGAAAAAATACTCAGCACATAAAACAGCTTTTGCACGACAACCCCAACATCAAGCCCTTGGAAATACAATCGGCCTGTGTTTTGACAGCATTCTCCTAGGGATTAGCTTGGGACGAGGTAGAAAAACAAGTAGAGAGTATTTAGGATTGGAATTGGATTGCAAACACAAAAGAGAAACTGAGAAATGAGATAGACCCAGTAAGTAATGGTTGAGGCAGTAGTAGCCTTCAAAGAATGTTGCGACACAAAAGACACCTTATATTAATAAAATAAATGTCAAAAGAGGAAAATCTGATTTACTGTCTTTAATATTTAAAACCAGTGCGACCAAATCGCACATGGCACTAAATATGAACAAAAAAGGAACTCATTTCCTCAACGAAGAGATTTTTGATGGCAAACGGAAAAGACATAGAGGTTTGGTTGCGTTAACAGCCAGTGTGTATTACCCCCTGTTGATAAAGCAAGTGACCCTAGCAATAACGGAAAGCGAATCAGAGAATACCGAAAATGTTACTTTGGTTTGGACACCATCTAAGGAAGTGCTGGAAAAACCGTCAAAAAATATAGGTAAAAAATTCGACCCGGTGGGGTGGTGTGTGGACAAGGCTTACAGGAAGCGCAGGAGTATTTGGCGAAGAAGCAAAAATGACCATTAAATCCTGCAAATTTCACTTCACAGGACACAGGAACAAAATGGCGAATAAGTTAGATTCCAACAGAGAGCTTACTTTCAAAAATCATTGCACTGGGATTTTAGAGGGTGAAACAACAAACGTTTATGAAATGATTAAGAATCAAATGGATGCATTCATTGCAGAAAGAACTAAAATACAATTTTTACGAATGTGTATAGGGTGGTGGCATGCCAGAAGGGCTTTATTTTTAGAGCTTATGCACCTAGTCGGGCCCCTCAAATGAATCAAGCTGAAGTAGTTCATGCTGGGTAGATTCATAGAGGACAACCAAATTTGTCTTCCTTAGAAGTTTGTCAGGCCGTTGTGAGAGATCAGTTACTCTATAGTTATAATAAAGGCATAAATCAAAAAGTAAAATAAACCTGAAATTCTTAGGTGAAAAACCGAGAACAGATTTCCTTCAACAAAAGGTGTAAAATGGCGTGGACCATCGAGAATATAAATTAGAATGACATTGATCACGAGGTGCATTCCCTTATATAGCCACACACGTGACTTTTAGGCTATTAATACATTTCCATATAAACCAAACATCATAAACAGCCCTCCCAATAATTGAAGATGCCCAGAACAACACAAAGCGCTTCACATCAACGATCCTTTGGTTCTTTCCCGAGCCAGTTTTCTGTAAAATGAGTGAATTTAGACTAGAAGTGGCACACAAGGAAAAATTCAAATAATTTACTGACGAAATAGGTATGGTTAAATCCTTAGCATATTATTACATACAAAAAAATTGCATCCATATTGGTTTTTTCCTTTTCCTAAAAATTTATGTATTATAAAGATTAGCCTGACAAGTTTAACCAACAATTCAAAATCTCTAATTCTTTGCATTTTTGCACTAACACATATGTACAATAAAACTAACTTTAACCGATATAAGCTAGTAAGCAAATGCCAATACGTATTGCACAAATACAGGCTGACAAAAAAACATTTTAGGAAATAAGATTTGGGGTTATAGATAGCCGCCCCATAAGAACAATCAAACTTTCAAAGACCTATTCATAATGAAAATTAAACATAGTTTGACTTTCATTTGCACTTGGCTCTAACTGTACCTAAACTACAACTGGGAGATCTGAAACCTTGAAATTCGATCAAATTAAAGTAAGGTAATAAGAAACCCTTTATAACTTGTGTAACACATCAAACAGAATCATAGATAGCACAACCATGGCTCCTTGTCCAAGCTGATAACTATCACAATAGTTTCTGAAATGGCAGTAACACTTTCCAGTACGAAAATTATAATATTACAATTTACTGTCATAACAACAATTTTTTCGCATTAACATATTTTCTGCTAAACAGATCACCACCTTCTATCCAATATAGTTATGAATATGTACTTCAGGAAGATGCATGCCTCAATACAAAAACATTCCCTACTATTGCTTGCTTTTTAAAAGTACACTTCTTCCACAAGCGGCCAGTACCACAATCCATTGATCAACAGGGCAAATTTATTCAATGATAAGCAATGCAGGGGATCAACATGGAAGCNCATTTTAGGAAATAAGATTTGGGGTTATAGATAGCCGCCCCATAAGAACAATCAAACTTTCAAAGACCTATTCATAATGAAAATTAAACATAGTTTGACTTTCATTTGCACTTGGCTCTAACTGTACCTAAACTACAACTGGGAGATCTGAAACCTTGAAATTCGATCAAATTAAAGTAAGGTAATAAGAAACCCTTTATAACTTGTGTAACACATCAAACAGAATCATAGATAGCACAACCATGGCTCCTTGTCCAAGCTGATAACTATCACAATAGTTTCTGAAATGGCAGTAACACTTTCCAGTACGAAAATTATAATATTACAATTTACTGTCATAACAACAATTTTTTCGCATTAACATATTTTCTGCTAAACAGATCACCACCTTCTATCCAATATAGTTATGAATATGTACTTCAGGAAGATGCATGCCTCAATACAAAAACATTCCCTACTATTGCTTGCTTTTTAAAAGTACACTTCTTCCACAAGCGGCCAGTACCACAATCCATTGATCAACAGGGCAAATTTATTCAATGATAAGCAATGCAGGGGATCAACATGGAAGCATATGTAAACGCCAACCTATCAACATAATGATGCGGAAAGGTCTGGGGCTTGGAAAACCCGGTCCGAGAGCCCCGAAACCAATAACCCCCGTATGTGGAAAATAATTATCGGATCGAAGTAAAAATTACATTTATGTTAATAGCTTACCTAGTGCTACTTTGTGAATATTTTTGAGAATTTTCGATTTTTTACTTTTGTAGACCTCCGGCCGATATTTACTGACATCCGCTCTTAAGAAAGACAGAGAGTCCCGCTGCTCGTGAAAACAATACTGTTTGTGAGCATCCACAAACTGTCAGCTCTTTTAAGAGGTGTCAAGGCAGTGTTAACCGGAAAAATTTAGGGAGTGTTAATAGAGGATCATCTTCTGCAGGATTATTTCCGGTTCCTAAGAGCCTATTCCTTAACACCTGTAGTCTTGATAAGATCAAGAACAGAGTACAGGCATCTGTAGCTCTGGCGGCAGATTTTCAATCATGAAATATTGACATTGGTGTTATTTCAGAGATGCATCTTTGCAGACAGAAACCTGCCAGTATTGTTGCTATTGAAGGGTATACAACATATCGAATGGATGGAGATTGGGCTGGAACAGATAAAAAGCGAAAGAAAGGTGGTGCTGCTGTTTACATGCGGGAAAATTTAAAGGTTTTGAATGTTAATCGTGCACACTCCTTTAAGATGCTGAGTGTGGAATTACTACTTCTGTCACGACATCATATGCTGATCATTGGATTGTACCCTCCTCCAAGTTTTAAGTATGATGAAGGCAATCTTATTGATACCATCATCGATCGTTGTGTTACATTCTTAGACATGCATCCAAATGGAGTAGTTCTCTGTGGAGGTGATCTGAACCGATTAGATCTGGACCGTCTTTCCACTTCACCTGGCCCAGTGCCCATGGTGAATTTCACCACTAGAGGGAGCTCCACCTTGAATAACTGCCTCACAACCCACCCTGAGCTGTTAAACGACCCCTAACGCTTTCAAGCGCTTGTTAAGACTGACAACTGGGGTGTGATACTTCCTCTGGGGAACAAAATTAAACCAATCCAATCCGAATGCTGTTTTAGGGATTTTAGAGAGCATCACAAGATAAATTTACTTCAGAGTTAGTTAGAAAATTTTGATGTTGAAATAGCAACTAGCATATTAAATTATGATTTGCAGTGTTTCCCTGAG